TTTAACGAGTCTATAAAAGATTTGATGTGTAACATTTTTAAGTCCCCTTCATAGTAGTTTTTGATAATAATTCCTCTTTTTATTTTGTCTGCTTTACTATGCCATAAGAAATTGAAAAGTTCTGTATTTAGTTTTTAGCATGTTGCAGCGTCTGGTATCAATATTTTACTTTAAACAACTTCTTCTTAATAACCGCAAGGCCTAGAGTGATGATATTTGGCCAGAAGCAAACTGAGATGAAGGGCTACCAAGTTTGTTAATATGTTAAAAACTTTAAACAACTTCTTCTGAATAACCAAAAAACCCAATTTACTGATATTGGGTCTGGAGCATGCCGGGATGAAGGGCTCCCAAGTTTGTTTAAATGAATGACCTTCACTCATATTCAAGGTCACAGGGGTCAATTGTCTTAAAAGTTTTTTGAACAACTTCTCCTGAATAACTTAATGGACCAATATGGTGATATTTAGCCAGAATCATGCAGGGATGAAAGTCTACCAAGTTTGTCCAAATTCATGACCTTCACCGATATTCAAGGTCACAGGGGTCAAATATGTTAAAAACTTTTAAACATCTTCTTTTGAATAACCGAAATGCTCAGGGTGTTGATATTTGGCCAGAAGCATGATGGGATAATGGGCTACCAAGTCTGTTCAAATGAATGACCTTGACCCACTTTCAAGGTCACTGGGGTCGGATGTCTTAGAATCTTCAAACGACTCCTCAATAACCAAAAGGCCCAGGGTACTGAAATTGGGCGTGTAGCATGCTGGGATGAAGGGCTACCAAGTTTTGTTCAAATGAATGACCTTGACCTACTTTCAAGTTCACTGGGGTCACATGTCTTAAAATCTTCAAACGACTTCTTCTCCATAACCAAAAGGCCCCGGATTCATATATTGGGCCTGTAGCATGCTGGGATGAAGGGCTACCAAGTTTGTTCAAATAAATGACATTGACCCACTTTCATGGTCACAGGGGTCAGCTGTCTTAAATTTTTCAAATGACTTCTTCTCAATAACCAAGAGGCCCAGGGAACTGATATTGGGCCTGTGGTATGCTGGGATAAAGGGCTACCAAGTTTGTTCAAATGAATGACCTTGACGAACTTTCAAGGTCACAGAGGTCAAATGTCTTGAAATTTTCAAACAACTTCTTCTCAATAACCAAAAGGTCCAGGCTCATGATATCTGGCCAGAATCATGCTGGGATGAAGAGCTACCAAGTTTGTTCAAATGAATGACCTTGACCCACTTTCAATCTAATGTCCTTGTTCGACATCAAGGTCACAGGCGTCATATGTTTAAATCTTTTAATACGTTCTTATGAATCAAACACTGATATTCTGCCTGTAGCTGTATTTTAGTCCACTTTTAAGATTACAAGTGTGAGATTAATATCAGGTGAGCGATGCAGGCCATTTGGACCTCTTGTTAATAAAAGAAATGTTTTTGGAAGGCTAAAATTACGGGTGTAAACCGACAAAATCGGGTCACTTAGCAGGTATGACTTTGTTGTAAGATCACTGAACTATGGATATATGAATGGTGAACTATTACATGTTCTACCCAAGGGAGATAAACCCAGACAGTTTTTGAAGAATTGGAGGCCTTTTTCTTTATTTCACATAGTGTATAAAATAGCATCAGGATCAATAGCGGGACGATTAAAAAAAAGTATTAGAGAAATTCCTAGATAGGGATCAGACAGGTTTTGTTGCAGGTACAATGTATAGGGGAAAAGACCAGGTTAATTTATGCTTCAAAAATTAGAACTAATAAGAATATCAAAGGTATGAATATAGATATCTAAGAAAGAAACTTTTATGAACTCTATAGCTTTGTAACAAAATTCTGGTTTATAGTAAATAAAGGCAAAACAAGAGTTTTTTGGATTGGCATTAAAAAATATAGTAAAGACAAATTCTTTCCAGAATGGAATTTACCTGATGCATTGGTTTATTAGACACTATAATAAGCAGGCTTGTGAAATAAGTATCAAGGTAAATAAATATTTTCTGTAAAATATGAAAAATATTGCAATATTAATAAGAAAAGCATGTTTCACATTCTAGGGTGTGACTCCTACTTATAAAAGGAGAATACAATGTTTCTGTGTGTCCTAATGTTACTTCATCTGATTGGTTTGAATTTTAGATAGAAACTTGTAGAGATATTTTTGCTTTGATTAGTAAGACATTTCCAACCATGTTATTTCATTTCTCTTATTTCTATTCGTTTTTATTTCCGAGCTATTTTATACCCTGCATTTAGGTAAGGGGTTACATAGTCATCGCTTTGTCAGTGTGTCAGTCTTAAAACCACTTGATGACAAGATACCTCATGAACTCTTTGATGGTATGGTTACATCTGCTCTACACCTGATTATATTTTAGGAGCCGATACAGCTTAATGCCACTTGGTTTAGGTTTTTATCCCCTGCTTTCACTGAAAAGTGGGATATTAATTTGGGTCTGTCTGTCTGTCCGTCCGTCTGTCTGTCGCGCTTCGTTTCCGTGCAATAACTACAACAAATATTAACCGATTTTCTTTAAACTTGGTCACAGGGTTAAATGCCTTAAGGGCTCAGCCAAGTTTGATGACCACTTTCAGCTGACCCCATTTAGCGGAGTTATGGCCCCTTGAATAATGAAACACTTCATTATCTTCCGCGCTTCGTTTCCGTGCAATAACTACAACAAATGTAAACCGATTTTCTTCAAACTTGGTTCGATTTTGATGAAAATTGGTATTTAGGAATATTAGGGGACAACATAATTCAACCGCATCGGTTTCGTTGCCATAGCTACCACACGGAGGCTTCTGATTGGTCGAAATTTAGATATTGTTAGATTTTGATGAAAATTGGTATATAGGGATATTAGGGGACTGCAAATTTAAACGCATACGTTCCGTTGCCATAGCAACTACACAGAGGATTCTGATTGGTTGCAATTTAGAAATTGCTCAATTTCCCTCAGTATGAACAATGTAGGTGTACTATACGGCAATGCGATCCTTTTCTGATGCATCTTTGCGACTATGAGGGCAGTTTTGGGGACATCTTTAATGGTCCCCCATTACAATTACTACTTGTTGCTGTAGATATTGTTAAGATGTTTCAACCAAATTCCTTATGCACATCCAACTCATGCTAAGTTTTCCAACCGGTGTGATTTGTGCATATTAACGGATAATCAATAAGTTATAGGGCTGTTCTTCAAGTTTCAAGCTATACATTATGTCTCAACAGCATGATACTCACATGTTTTAACCTAAACTCAATAATGTTAATCTACAATATGTCCTGCAAGCGGGGGATACAAATTCCACGAATTTGCTTGTTTGTGCAGTGTTGGATCACCACACTCAATAAGCTGTTGAATAACACAAGCTTGAGGTGATAATGATAAAAAGTGTAGTGTGCTGACCCATTACTCATATTCTAGGGGCCAAAAGGGCTTTCTTTTATCTATATTTCATTTACTTTACATTGATTTCAAAGCTCTTTGCTCATTTATCATAATGATATACATGTAAGAATGTATTGTATTATTCAGATAAACATATATATATATATATGTAACACATGATGTAACTTCAGTGTTGCCCATATTTGTATGATTACCTACATTAATTGTACAACAACAAAACATAATGCTGAAAATTACAAGACCAGTTTAGCAACCTACAACATGTTGAGATACATGTATTTATAATGATTTTTATCTAAATTATATGAGGAACAGGTGAGCTATTCTGCTATCCATCAGGCTTTGTCTGTTTAAAAGCAAGGGTAGAGGATCACAAAGTAGCACGCCTATTGGGTATACCTATTTATCACATCACAAAGTAGCACGCCAATGGGTATCCCTATTTATCACATCACAAAGTAGCACGCCAATGGGTATCCCTATTTATCACATCACAAAGTAGCGCACCAATGGGTATACCTATTTATCACATCACAAAGGAGCACGCCATTTGGTATATAACCTATTTATCACATCACAAAGTAGCACGCCAATGGGTATACCTATTTATCACATCACAAAGGAGCCCGCCAATGGGTATTCCTATTTATCACATCACAAAGTAGCACACCATTGGGTATACCTATTTATCTCATCACAAAGTAGCCTACCAATGGGTATACCTATTTATCACATCACAAAGTAGAAAGCCAATGGGTATACCTATTTATCACATCACAAAATAGCACACCATTGGGTATACCTATTTATCACATCACAAAGGAGCCCGCCAATGGGTATTCCTATTTATCACATCACAAAGTAGCACACCATTGGGTATACCTATTTATCACATAACAAAGTAGCATGCCAATGGGTATACCTATTTATCACATCACAAAATAGCACACCATTGGGTATACCTATTTATCTCATCACAAAGTAGCCTACCAATGGGTATACCTATTTATCACATCACAAAGGAGCACGACAATGGGTATACCTATTTATCACATCACAAAATAGCACACCATTGGGTATACCTATTTATCTCATCACAAAGTAGCCTACCAATGGGTATACCTATTTATCACATCACAAAATAGCACACCATTGGGTATACCTATTTATCTCATCACAAAGTAGCCTACCAATGGGTATACCTATTTATCACATCACAAAATAGCACACCATTGGGTATACCTATTTATCTCATCACAAAGTAGCCTACCAATGGGTATACCTATTTATCACATCACAAAATAGCACACCATTGGGTATACCTATTTATCACATAACAAAGTAGCATGCCAATGGGTATACCTATTTATCACACCACAAAGTAGCACGCCAATGGGTATACCTATTTATCACATCACAAAGGAGCACGCCATTGGGTATACCTATTTATCACACCACAAAGTAGCACGCCATTGGGTATACCTATTTATCACATCACAAAGTAGTACACCAATGGGTATACCTATTTATCACAACTAAAGGTTTCCTTGTGTTATTTCCACATCAGGACTGGAGATTACCTCCTAGCAATCAACAACACAGAGCTGACTGGGCTCCAGGACAGTAAGGTGCAACAGATCCTCAGGCTCTTACCTCGTGGCCTTGCCAAAATCATTGCCTCAGCAACTCCACCTAGTGGTGACCTCAGATCCAGTGATCCAAGAAGAGGTAACTAAGATGTAAATGTGACTTAATCAACATGATTTATAATATTTCCATATCACATTGCTGGAATCAGCTTGTCGATATATCCATGTAGCATACTGTTACCATCGTAGTTTATACCATTTGTCTGTACAACTAATTTTGTATGATATCCGTGTTACAACCATCATAGTTATATCTGAGTTACAACCATCATAGTTATATCTGTGTTACAACCATCATAGTTATATCAGTGTTACAGCCATCATAGTTATATCTGTGTTACAACCATCATAGTTATATCTGTGTTATAACCATCATAGTTATATCTGTGTAACAACCATCATAGTTTTATATGTGTTACAACCATCATAGTTATATCTGTGTTACAACAATCCTCGTTATACCTCTGTAACAACCATCATAGTTATATCTGTATTACAACCATCCTAGTTATATCTGTGTTACATAACAACCATCATAGTTATATCTGTATTACAACCATCCTAGTTATATCTGTGCTACAACCATCACACTTATATCTGTGTGGCAACCATCATAGTTATTTCTGTGTTACAACCATCATAGTTATAACTGTGTTACAACCATCATTGTTATATCAGTGTTACAGCCATCATAGTTATATCTGTGTTATGACCATCATAGTTATATCTGTGTAACCAACATCATAGTTATATCTGTGTTACGACCATCATAGTTATATCTGTGTTTCAGCCATCATAGTTGTAAGTGTGATACAACTATCATAGTTATATCTGTGTTACAAACATCATAGTTATATCTGTGTTACAAGCATCATAGTTATATCTGTATTAAAACCATTATAGTTATATCTGTGTTATAACCATCATAGTTAGATCTGTGTAACAACCATCATAGTTTATATGGGGTACAACCATCATAGTTATATCTGTCTAACAATCATCATAGTTATATCTGTGTTACGACCATCATAGTTATATCTGTGTTATAACCATCATAGTTAGATCTGTGTAACAACCATCATAGTTATATCTGTGTTACAACCATCATAGTTATTTCTGTGTTACAACCATCATAGTTATATCTGTGTTACAACCATCACAGTTATATCTGTGTTAAAACCATCATAGTTATATCTGTGTTTCAACCATCATAGTTGTAAGTGTGATACAACTATCATAGTTATATCTGTGTTACAACCATCATATTTATATCTATGTTATAACTATCACACTTATATCTATGTTACAACCATCATAGTTATTTCTGTGTTACAACCATCATAGTTATATCTGTGTTATAACCATCATAGTTATATCTGTGTAACAACCATCATATTTTTATATGTGTAACAACCATCATAGTTATATCAGTGTTACAACCATAATAGTTATATCTGTATTACAACCATCATAGTTATATCTGTGTAACAACCATCATATTTTTATATGTGTAACAACCATCATAGTTATATCAGTGTTACAACCATAATAGTTATATCTGTGTTACAACCATCATAGTTATATCTGTGTAACAACCATCATAGTTATATCTGTGTTACAACAATCCTATTTATATCTGTGTAACAACCATCATAGTTATATCTGTGTTACAACCATCCTAGTTATATCTGTATTACAACTTTCCTAGTTATATCTGTGTTACAACCATCATAGTTATATCTCTGTAACAATCATCATAGTTATATCTGTGTTACAACCAACAGCGTTATATCTGTGTGACAACCATCATAGTTATATCTGTGTTACAACCATCATAGTTATATCTGTGTTACAACCATCACAGTTATATCTGTGTTACAACCATCATAGTTATATCTGTGTTACAACCATCATAGTTATATCTGTGTTACAACCATCATAGTTATATCTGTGTTACAACCATCATAGTTATATCTGTGTTACAACCATCATAGTTATATCTGTGTTACAACCATCATAGTTATATCTGTGTTACAACCATCATAGTTATATCTGTGTTACAACCATCATAGTTATATCTGTGTTACAACCATCATAGTTATATCTGTGTTACAACCATCATAGTTATATCTGTGTTACAACCATCATAGTTATATCTGTGTTACAACCATCATAGTTATATCTGTGTTACAACCATCATAGTTATATCTGTGTTACAACCATCATAGTTATATCTGTGTTACAACCATCATAGTTATATCTGTGTTACAACCATCATAGTTATATCTGTGTTACAACCATCATAGTTATATCTGTGTTACAACCATCATAGTTATATCTGTGTTACAACCATCATAGTTATATCTGTGTTACAACCATCATAGTTATATCTGTGTTACAACCATCATAGTTATATCTGTGTTACAACCATCATAGTTATATCTGTGTTACAACCATCATAGTTATATCTGTGTTACAACCATCATAGTTATATCTGTGTTACAACCATCATAGTTATATCTGTGTTACAACCATCATAGTTATATCTGTGTTACAACCATCATAGTTATATCTGTGTTACAACCATCATAGTTATATCTGTGTTACAACCATCATAGTTATATCTGTGTAACAACCATCATAGTTATATATGTGTAACAACCATCATAGTTATATCTGTATTACAACCATCATAGTTATATCAGTGTTACAACCATCATAGTTATATCTGTGTTACAACCATCATAGTTATATCTGTGTAACAACCATCATAGTTATATCTGTGTTACAACAATCCTAGTTATATCTGTGTTACAACAATCCTAGTTATATCTGTGTTACAACCATCATAGTTATATATGTGTAACAATCATCATAGTTATATCTGTATTACAACCATCCTAGTTATATCTGTGTTACAACCATCATAGTTATATCTGTGTAACACTCATCATAGTTATATCTGTGTTACAACCATCAGAGTTATATCTGTGTGACAACCATCACACTTATATTGTGTTACAACCATCATAGTTATTTCTGTGTTTCAACCATCATAGTTGTAAGTGTGATACAACTATCATAGTTATATCTGTGTTACAACCATCATATTTATATCTATGTTACAACTATCACACTTATATCTGTGTTACAAACATCCTAGTTATTTCTGTGTTACAACCATCATAGTTATATCTGTGTTACAACTTTTATAGTTATTTCTGTGTTACAACCATCATAGTTATTAGCTCACCTGGCACGAAGTGCCAAGTGAGCTTATGCCGTGGTGCGGCGTCCGTCGTCCGTCCGTCGTCCGTCCGTCCGTCTGTCTGTCCGTCCGTCCGTCGTCCGTCCGTCGTCCGGCGTCAATATTTTACTTTAAACGACTTCTTCTTAATAACCGAAAGGCCTAGGGTGATGATATTTGGCCAGAAGCAAACTGGGATGAAGGGCTACCAAGTTTGTTCAAATAAATGACCTTCATCTATTTTCAAGGTCACAGGGGTCAAATATGTTAAAAACTTTAAACAACTTCTTCTCAATAACCAAACTGCCCAGGG